TGAATATCTAAGAAGTGGAGGATAGATATAATGATGAATTAAGGAGCTGAAATCTAGAAAGTATCTATCCTCAGTATCCTAATCTGATACAGTAATCAGTATCCTCTAGATTATTCTGGTTGTGTATGAAAGAAGGAATTAATAGGCTGTTGATAGTTAACATGCTATACTCCAGGGAATTATGATAATTAAAATGGAAATACAAAGAATGTTATTGTTCCATGATAAATTTGTTTGTCATCAGAGGCCACAAGGCTGTTCTGTCGATAGACTCCAGAGAAATAGTCTTGTTAGGTGAATGGATGGTGAAAACTAAATAAGATACAGATAAAGTGGGCCATTTGGAGACCCCAAAATGAATGAATATAGTGATTCTTTGATAAGCATTTGCTTTAAAAAAAAGGTTGGTCTCTTGGTTTCAAATCAGCTGTTTAAGCATAAGTCTGTTCAAGCATACAAACGTAAAAAGGAATGAATGTTCTGCTCTACAAAGAGAAAAGCCAATATTCAGGCAAGGGTTTCAGAAGATCAAGGTGGCTTTCCATCAATGCAATCCTCACCTAGAGCAGATGGAAAAGACTCTCAGCTGTGTAGAGAGCACCAAGCACAAAGCAATGTACCAGTAATTTGTAAGGAAACTCTGCAGTTATACAGGTGCAATAATGTAATACCAGAATGGAAGGCACTGAGCACAGTTTCTAGGCCAGGGGGAGTAGGTTTCAAAGATTAACAGCCTCCACAAGGTCAAACTGTTAATGAGATTTTTTTAATCAGTTACTCAGGGTTCTGCATGAGCAACCATTTTGAGAAAACCATGAGTCCTGAGGACTAGTACAGCAAAAGGATGTGTTACTTTCCTTGTGTTCCAAATATAATTTTCTTGATTTTGCCCTTGCAAATTGAATAACAGCAACATTATGTAAATTGGGAGGCAAATTAAGACATTGATTAATGGCTTGACTGGCATGAGAATATGTAATCATGAATAGCTTTGTAACTATGTATATGCTGAGTAAATATTCCTTCTGCGCAGTCTACAATACATGTACATTTTTCAAAATTTACAGGTTCACAATATTACAGCCAGTACCTACCTTGCTTATTTTGCTTCCCATTTCTATCTCAGAGCAACAGCCACCAGGAACAGGCTGAATAGCTGTGGTCCTGCCCCGTCTGGGGGGCTTGCTCAGTTAAGATTTGGAAGCCAGGCCCCGAAGCAGCTGCCTTTCATCAGATCAGCTCTGCAAGCAGGATCAGAGGGAGGAAGAGTACACAGAACTGAATGATGGAATAGCCAAAGAGCATTCCTTTGTTCTTTCTTTTAAGAAGTTGGGCAGTTTTATTTTATTCTCTGTTGGCCTACCAGTAGCCCTGAGAATAAGGGTAATGAGGAGAATGAAAGGAATGCTGCTGCAGGGGTAGGTGAAAAGAACTAGGAATCACATTCTCCTGAATCAGGTCAGCTTGCTCAGCAAGAAGCAGATGTGGAATAGCAATGTATGGTCCAAACTATCTTTCTAAAATGGCCACTTTCCCAGGAAAGTCTATATGATTGTAATAAGACATAGTATACTCCTTTCTTGTTAGGGTGCTTTGGTTAGCGCAAGTTCAGACGACATGCTCCATTTGTGGAATCTAAGACAGAAACGACCAGCAATTCTTCATTCTCTGAAATTTAACCGAGAACGGTAAGACTTCAGAAGTTTTCATATCTTACTTATCTGATTTGACTCTTGTGTTTTTGATGGGATACTGAAACCTTATTCATGATATTTATGCAAGCCAGCTTAAGCAGCTCCTGGAGCAGTTCCAGATTAACCAGGGGATGAAGGGGGTACCCCTGGCCCATGTGTCCAGGGACCCCTCACCTCTGCCCTGATTCACAACTTTTTATTTAACGAGTCTTTCAACCGTGTAGCCATTACTCTGCCCAAGCATTTTGTGTGGAATGAGTTCGTTTCCACTTTTCAGACTCTGGAATCTGTCCTTGAGAGTTTTTAAACAGGATTAATAGCATTATAGAAAAAACATAGGGAAGTGTAGTCTGCAGAAGAAAATCTTGATTCATTCTGAATGCAATTTTTGCTCTATACTGCTGAATTAGTAATTTTAATGTAGCTGAAAGGTTAGTACAGCTTTGAATGTTAGTGTAATTGTGATTTGGCAATACAAGATACATCCCACGAGAGTAACAGTTTTCATCCCAGCTCAAGGGCAGTGTCATATAAAGCAACATTTGTTAAACTTGGTTCATAAACATTAATCTAATTATTTTTTTTATTTATTTAATAATTTAATTTCTGTGATGCAAACCTGCCTACAGTCATGTGAAAAAGAAAGTACACCCTCTTTGAGTTCTATGGTGTTACGTATTAGGACGTAATAAAAATCATCTGGTCCTTAGCAGTTTTCAAAAGTAGGTAAATACAACCTCAGATGAA